AGCAAAGAACGGCGGGGTGCTATGGGGGCTTCAGGGCCAGGTTTGTTAAATCGCGGTTTCTAGGTGTGCACAGATGATGATCTCTGCGTTGTGAAAGCGTTTTCCGAGGTGGAAGACACGACTGTGCGCTATGTCCGGTATTAGACGTGGACTGGGGGCGAAAGTGGGCGCTGCGGCGAAACTATGGTCCGCGGGGCTTTTCTGCGGGCACAGCGGCGAAATTATGGTCCGCGGGGCTTTTCTGCGGGCACAGCGGCGCCCTTGTGGGAGGGGAAGAAGCTGTAAAGCGGGTGTAAGAAGGATGCCGCCGCGGCCTGATTGGTTCGGGGAGAAAGAAGAGGATAGCGGGTGGCGACAATCACCGTGATTATATTCACATTTTTGCGATGCACGTGCACCGTACTGTAGTGAAGCGGTGCGGCTCCACCGAGCGGGCTACTTGTACAAAGCAGACGTGGCCAGTTATCGATATTGGTCGCCGCACCCACGCGCTGCTCCCTTCACTGACGTCGACGTCCCCCGGCGCCGCTCAGAGCCCCCGATCGGGTGCCGCGCTGGCAGGCACGCATTGCTGCATTGCCTTGTCGCCACCGCCCTGCCCACCGCACGGGACAGCTACAGTCTCCATCCTGCTCCAGCAAAAAACCTTTTTCATCCCGTCTCCCATCACCTAAGGTACCCTGCGAAGCGTACAGCTTGAACCCACTCGGCGTCTCGTCTCTCCGCAAACGATACCACCCCCTCCCCGTGGCCCCCGTGGCCCCCGTATCTCCCAGTGTCCCCAGTGCCCAACCACTACCCCCTTCCCTCAAACCCGCCGCCGCGCCAGTCACGGCGGCCTGCTGCACCGAGAAGCCTTCCTTCGATCAGGTCTCCAAGCTCCAGTGCGTCGATTACCGTCGCTCTTCCCACCGTTATCTCCAAATCTCCACATCATCACATCCCATCCCACGCCTGCTGTCACCCCCACACAAAAAATATTCTCGATGGGCAAAAAAGCGACTCCCTCCTCTACTGGTAGGTTCGGAGGGGCAAGGGAAAGAAGGAGGGCAGGTTGATGTGTGTGAGTGAAGGAGTTGGTGCCGAGGTTTACTTTGAAGCCGTTTTCCTGTGATACTTATTCACTTCGAGTGCTACATTATCGTTCTACTCCGACTCCCAGTAAACCATACTCTACTATGCGCGACCAAGCGCGGTCCTCTTGTGGCCCGACCATACTGTTCGATTTCCACCTTATGAATCGATTCGTAACTATTAGCTCACAACTATTTCTACACATTCCAAATGACTGTAAACCATGGCCCTATGCATGCAACTGTTTCACACCTTACTAATCTGCATCCAGTCATGCCAGACTTCATTGTTGTGCAACGAACAACTTGGCACTTGTCTATTTCCAACAAGGCAAACGTCTTTCATATCACAATCGCCATACGTATCCTTGTTTCTCACCTTACTAATTTCGCCAAGCACTGTCAGATAATTATGGCAAGTCCTACCAATGTGCATCCAGACTCTGTCCTCAA